TTAGCAGGCAAAAGTGCCAAGCCTGACGACCTGAGTTCGATCCTCATGATCCACATGATAGAGGAGAGCTGACTCCTGAGTCAGCATTATTCTCAAGGTACAGCACCCTCCTTTGAATTCAGGTTTCCTTACCCCACTCCTGGGTTTTCTGGCAGACTGTCAAGGGTGGTAGAGTTTGTCCTTCATCTTCCTGTGTATCCTTGCAGTCACCCATTTGAAGATGCAGGAACAGAAACTTCCATCTATACCCATCCTTCTCTGCCAGCACTGGCAAGCATTTTAGTGTGGCTTTTTCTTGGGGCCACATTATCTTCTTTGCCATCTATGAGCTCTGAGTCCAGTGGCATTCAGTTTCTACTGATCTTTTTCTTTTCTTTAAAAAAATTTTAAATTTCTTTTGGTTTTGATTTTGGGTTGGATCCAATACATTACACCTCATGTGACAAAGCTTGTGAACATGGCTTGTATTATCTCTCCGAAATAGCCCTCTCTAAAGGGTGTTGTCTGAAGGCAATTTTCCCCCTTGAACACATCTTCACATGAACACAAAAAGGCAAGTGAAAAAAGCACAGACTAAAGAAGGTATCCTTGCTCCTCCAAGTACCAAACAAGATACAGCAATGACCTCTGGGTCCCCCTACCTCTTCCTCCAGACCAGAGTCCATTGAGGCCATCCACGCAGCTACCAATGTGCCAAAGCCACTCAGCTAGATCATGGAGGATCACAGAGGCCACTGGATGGATGCTTTGGGGGGTGACTTTCACCCAACTCCTAAAGCTGAACATTGTGGCAGCTTCTATTCTCTGGAATGACTCAAGGCTACATTGTATCCCTTACTGAAGCCTGGGAGAGGGAGGCACAGATTCTGTTCACTCCTGGAAAGCTCCCTACCGGCTCCTTTGTCAGTCCCCATCCCCTGACACCGCCAGAAACTGTGGGTCCACAAAGCTGTCTTTTTTTTTTTTTTCAGGCTGTCCATCTTTCCTCCAGCTTCAGAGATAAGCAGAAGGGGTGCTCTCTCTCCCATCTGAGCTGCCTGGAGCTCACATCCTAAGAAGTGGTGTTTTTCCCAAGAGAAGCTACCACAGAGCAAGCCTCCTTTCTTGGGGTCCGGCATCCTGGGCTGCTCCCCATATGGAAAGAAATGTGGACAGTGATCAACAGTCTGTCGGGCAGTGAAGGCCAGACTCTGAATCTTGCGGTTGTGTTCCTTCTAAGTTCTCTTTCTTGCTTCATAACCTTGGGCTAACCCCCATGCTCACAAAGCTGTCACCTTGCCTTGAGGGCATGGGGCCCTTGGAGACCACATGAGCTCCAGCTAAGCAGTATTCAGTTCCTGTCCCTGCCCAGAACAGGTCACCCCTGCAGGACTGAGAACCTTTGCAGACTCAAAGTAAACCAAAGTCTGGTCTCAGCAAGGTACTCCCCCATGGTACTCCCCGAGCTATCCATAGGCATAACCAGCCCTGATCCCTGTGTCCAGTTCAGGACTATTCTGGCCAGATCTGCTCCAAAGGCTTTCCTGTTCAGATTTACCTGGCTTTGTCACATGATTTCTTAGATGAGAGAAGACACTTCTGCCAGAATCTTCCTGTCCTGTCTGCCCTAAAATGTGGACTGGCTGTTCCAGTGGGATTCCCAAGAAGCAAGCATTATCCACTGACAGCATTGACTGCAGCTTATGCTACTTTGTAACTTTCCATTTCAACTCTGAGGTGTTGGGGGCAGGAGAGCTCTAAGTACCTGCCCATCTAAACCACTTTCCTGTAACTTGAGTGAGTCAGTTTGGTTTCTTGAGTCTCCATTTTCCATCTGTAAAATGGAATAGATAATGGGTGTTTCCATTGTCTGACTCCTGAAGGCAAGTTAGAGTTGTGCATTTTGTGAACCATGAGCCTGCCTCTCAAACACTCACTGGGCCTCCAAGCCCAGGATGAGTCTTCCAGGCAGTCCGCTTTCACAGGTAGTGCTTGGAAGGCTCTTCCTCGATGGTGGAGGGTAGAGGGCAGCATTCCTGGCACACTGTGGGTATGGCCTGCCAGATTCCCTGGCCCCGCCCAGCTGCGTTCCAGTTTCTGATGTCAATTAGTTCTGCTGACTTCATCAGGGAGGAAGCTTGGGAAGATAACCAGGCAGGCCTAAGTGTAAACAAGAGAATGGGCTCCTGGGGGAGGGGTGAGGGTGGGGTGCTCAGAGCCCAGAAAGGACTAAATTGGAAGGTGCTGCACATGGCTGAAGACCTCTCTGGTGCATGACCCAGTGGGAGGGACACTCATGTTTAGAAGTAATGTGTGGTACTAGACAGGACCTCAGGAGCCAGGCAGCCCATGTATGAGAGAACACCCAGGAGAGAGGGTGCTGGCCACAGCTGGCCAGATGCCCAGATTTACATGACCCAAGTATCAGGTCAAAAGCTGAATACTTCCACTTGTATACAGGACATATGACAGGATTGTGGGTGGGCAGTGTCTGGCTCAGGAGGGCTCCAGGCTGTTTGGGCTGAGCCTATGTTCCTGGTCTTTTTAGTTACCCACGGTCTCTCTAAATCTGAACCCAGCTGAGCATGCACAAGGCCATGGGGCATCATTGGCTATAGGGAGTTGGGCACAGGTGAAGTTCTGTGACAGCATGAAGAGGGTGGCTGTGGATAAGGCACCTGGGGTAGGGACCTTCTAAATAGATATGGAAGTAGGTGTTTGGACCAGGGCCCAGCAAGGGAAGGTTTATACCTGCCAGGGAAGAGGTGAGACAAGTAGCTTGGGAAGCAATCAGGAGAGCTGGGTGTGCATCCCAGTGTATAGGCCCACCTCCCAGGGCTGATGCCGGCTGTGTAGGTGTTTCCAAGGCTCTGTCAGCTGTTCTGCCATTGGTTTTCACACCCAACAACTGAAGAGCCCCAGGGGATTCACAGGCAGTGGGGGAGGGGAAGCCTAGCAGCTGCTGTGAATACAGCAGCCTCCTTCCTTCCACCCCCAATGCTGTGCTCATTATGGTCCTCAGCCTGGAGGGTCTGAGCCTGTCCATACTGACCATCTCAGCTTCACAAAGTGTGCCTTCCCAGAACACAGCCCTCATTAGGCTGCTTTCCCCTGGGCAGAGGCTCCCCAGCCAGTCCTGGAACTGCAGTTACCCAGGCTAGCAGCATAATACATTAGCTGGTCAGGGTCACCACAGATTCAACACTGGCACTGCTTCCTGATGCTGGTTCCAGAGGTTGGAAGCCCAACACCAAGGGTCCAACCAGGCTGGTGTCTCCTGAGGCCTACAGATGGCCACTCCTCTCATACTTTTCATAGCTCGTGTTCTGTGTTCTGCACACAGCCCTGGCATATGTGTTCAAATCTCCCCTATACTAAGTATACCACTCAAACTGGATTAAGTCTACCCTAATGGTCTAACTTGTTGTTCATATGTGTATGTTTGGAGGCGAAGTGGCAATCTCTGTCCATGGACTAAGCTATTTTCCCACTCTCTAAAGGCCTCATTTAATCACCTCTTTAAATGCCTTGTCTCCAAATAAGTCACTATCCACAGCATTCAAACGCGGAGCTTCGGAGTTTGAATAGGGTTACACTTCAGCCCACAGCAGCCACTGGGGGACCCTGGGTCTCACTAGTGAGCTGTAAGTCCCCACAGGGACCCCTCCTCAGATTCTCTAGTATTTTGTGGTCTGTGTGACTGTGTCTTCCTATCTGGTTACAGAATTCTGGGGTCAATGTGGACATTTATGAAACACTGAGTGATTTTCTAGGCATGGTGGCTCATGACTTTCATCTTAGCACTTGGGAGGCAGAGGCAGGTGGATCTTAAGTTCGAGGCCAGCCTGGTCTAGAGAGTAAGTTCCAGGACAGCCATGGCTGTCACACAGAGAAACCCTGTCTCAGAAAACCAAAAACCAGTAACAACAATAATAAATAAACTACTGCATGATTAAATGTGAAGGGGCGGGAAATCCAGAAGAAGAGGCCCCAACAGAGAAGCTAGCGTTCTAGAGTCCCTAGCCCTGGATGCCCTTGCCTCGTACAACCACTCACATGTAACAGTGGTGGTATCACCCATCTAGCAGTGACAACAGATTTCTAAGAAGTTTCATGTCCACATTCTCCAAGCCTCATCATGACAGCTGTGGAAGGAAAGAGCTGGAACAGCCCTTGCTACAACTAACCACTGAGCTAGATCAGGTCCAGCTTGCTCCAGGGTGGGGCTAGGATTCTGCCTGGGCCTAACCAACACTGCAGGGCTGTCCTGGAGTCTAGAACTGGGCTGGGCTTCCAGGAAGCAAGTGATTCATGACTGTTACTGCCCTGCAGATGGACACAGGGCACTGACAAGATCAGCCCTGTACCTTAGCCACCCTGTACCAGGCACAACAGAGCAACAAGGTAGACTTGGCCAGCTCTGCTTCAGTTCTGCATCATCAGGAGAGCTGAGGGGGAGGACAGGTGACTCTCCAGCCTTTTTGAAGTCAGACCTGCTCTGTGAGGCTTGGCTCTGTCACATCAGAGCTCTGCACTCTTAGACCGTCTTCATTGGTCAGCTGTGAATAGATGCCATCATGCAACCAATATTTGATTAGTAACATTATGTGCAGAGACCATTTTAGACACGGGAGACAGTAAGGGACAAGCTCATATGCCTATGGAATTTTCACAGAGAGGGGTGAACATGCTTTCAAGGCAGTGCTGAATATTGCCCTACTGTGCCTTGGGATCCTTTAGCTGGGAGAGGGTGAGTCCAGAGATACATCCCCGAGGCAGACATGTTGAGCTTGTCCCATCAGGAATAGCAACTCAGGTTCCTTGGGCCTGGGAACAGTCAGGTGACTGACACGAAAACTCCATCCTTAACTCTCTGGAGGCTGTAGACCCACATCCATCCACAGACTGAACCTTCATGCCTTGGAAGGTAGCCCTTGTCCTCCTAGCCTTCCCTTGCCCGCTGGGGCCAGCCTGCAGGACTCTTCCCAGCCGCCAGGAGACCAGGACCTAAAAAGACTCGGATGCCCAAGGTCACATCGCTCATGGGCGCACACCGGCAGTTCCAAAGCCTCCCACCGCCAACACACGACCTCTCGGGCAGCATTTCTGCGCTGCTGGGGACTCAGCCTGTCATTACAACCCCCCCTCGCTCGTCGCGCGTGCAGACTTAGCAGCGCCCAGGAACAGCGAGAGCCACAGCCTCGCGACGTTCAGAGCACCCGGTCGCTTCGACCGCACTCCCCACGCCCAGACCTCTCAGCCCCCTCCTCTGACCCCTCCCATTTCTTCCTTGGCCCCCGCTGCCCCCCA